TCGCGAGTTCTTGCTCGTATCTCATCCTCAGTCATTCTCGATATCAACAAAGCGTTCCATAAGCGGGCCTGTCCAAGAACACAGTTCTGAGAAAGTGGTCTTCACTACGGCAGAGCCTTTCCCCACCATTCTACGCCGCAGCGAAGTCATCGAGGTGGCTAGAGTGCAGCTTGATGCTCACCATACCGCTCTGGAACGCATTGTGCGCAAGACGCAAGAGATAGCAGTCCTTGAGCGGCGAGTAGCAGACGAAGATACCGACGCTGTGAAACCTCTTGCAGATGCGATCGATGTTTCGGTCGACCCGGTATCCAACACCAGCATCGTTTGGTACAGGCAACTGTTGCCAACCCCACGTGATGAGCTCGAGCTTGAGGATGACGATAGCGACGCTGATAATGAGTCGGAAGAGAGAGAGGAACAAGAAGAAGCTCTAACTCCCCGTGAGATAGCGATCAAGATGTCTCTCATCGATCATGCCATCATGATCAAGAAGTCACTTACGCTACTATCACGATATTCTGGCGGCATCCTCGCCCTACGGCATGGGGAGCTCAAGAGCAGTAAGAAATATCCCCCCCTAAAATCATGGACGTACGAATGAAGACTCTAACAGTTGACTACCTAGACTTCGAAAGTACCTACCATACGGAGATTTCGATCTTTTCGCCTATACAGCCTCAATTGGAGATCGCGACGCCTTCATCTCCCACGTGCAGGAAATCGTCTCCATCTCCAGATCCCAGCACACCAACAGCCACGATTGCCGCAGTGATCAACGGGGTTCACACAGAAGAAATGTCATTTGGAAAGCCAGTGAACTCACAGCAGCGGAGCAACCGGCTCAGCTTCCTCCACAAGAAGAAACCGTCCGAGGCACACACCGAAGTGAGCACCGCAATAAGCCCCGTCACAAACGGCGGCGACCTCGACTCCCCGACCAGCCCACACTCCCGGACTGTGAGCAGGGACGCGATGCGCCGGAACAGCTTCTTCCGCGTCCAGTCCGCCGGGCACGGGTCCAACCACAGCGGCGGTGGCGGCGCCGGGCTTGGAATACAGGACAGCCGCAGGGCCGCCGGGAAGGGAGAAAACGGCACCCCCGCAGGGTCCGGCCCCGAGGTCCCGACGCTCAAGAAGGGCCCGGGCAGCGTAAGGAAGAGGCTGAGCATGCTCAGGCTAGGCGGCAGCAAGAAGAGCGCCGCCCAGAGTAACGCCAAGGGCAACGTCATGGGAAGCTTGAATGAGGGGTAGGACGACTATTTTCGAGCCTACTTTGGGAGATACAATGTTCGATTCGATAGGCCCGAGGAAGAGGGCGATGGATGATTCACACACAGCGACCATGTAGCGAATTGTACAGAGACGGGTGGCGGCACGGTTTGGAAGAAAATGTTTTTTGTAATTGTAGCAGGACTGGATATGGACAGGGGATAATAATTTCAATACCACTGCGTTCTTTCGCCACGCTTCTCTTTCGTAATCGAACATGTGTACACGTCGTCTTGAGTTTAACAGATGTATTGAGTGCCTGTGTTCCTCATCCAACACAGGCTTACCGATCGTCTATGAGCCCGCAACCTCTATCTAAGGGCATGCAGGACCAACCAGACTGCTGCCACATGTGTGATCAATAGCTGTAGAATAATCAACTCCCTAATTTGCCAAATGATGAACGAATGATCCCTAAGCCATCATAAATATATCGCTCCTGTCAAGATATCCTACAACACATTCTCTTACTCAAAACTCCCAGTCTAAGCAGCAGTCAACTCGGCAATCCTCTTCTCCAACTCTGGCACTTGCCTCAGCTTGACGTCAAGCTCCTCCTTCTCGTCCTCAAGCTTCAGCCTCTTGTCGGCATCCAACTTGGTGAAGACATAGTTGCCCTGGCCGTCAAACTGGAGAATGTGCGTATGGTACTTCCACAGACTACGTCGGTGGCTCACAGTCATGAGGGTGATGCCCAGAGCCTTGGCGTTGTCGTACATGGTCTTTTCTATCTCCAGAGTCACGCTGCTAGTGCACTCATCCAAGATGGCGTACTTTGGTCGGTGGTAGAAAAGTCGAGCCATGGCGACCCTCTGCTGAAGTCCACCAGAGAGCACGTCTCGCCACTCGGCCTCGGCATCCCATCCCTCGTCGTAAAGATCAACGAGGTGCTCAAGACCCAGAATCTTAAGAACAGAGAGAAGGTCGGCATCGGTCACGCCACGAGAGCGCATCTGGCGTAAAGAGTCGGGGTATATGATTTGCTGCCGCAGGGACCCGCGCGATAGATATGGTCGCTGGGGAATGTAGAAGATGGCGCTGAACTGGGGCTTATATACTGTGCCGCCATACACTGGCCAGAGTCCACCAAGGATGCGGAATAGAGAAGATTTTCCGCAGCCATTGGGGCCAACAATGAGTAAATGTTCTCCATGCTTCAGCTGGAAAGACAGAGCCTTGATCAAGACATCTCCATTGGGCGAGATGATTGGCCTGCGAGAATGGTCAGTCTTGCACATGGAAGTGCAGCGGAAAGGTAAGAAAACTTACACATCGATGAAGGTTATGTCTTTGCTCTCATGAATGGTCCCTCGGCCTTTCAAAACATTCTCATTGTCCTCAATGCTAGAGGATGAAACAAGCTTTTTCTCAAAATGGCCAGCTTGGATATCATCCATCACATCCAACAAGGAAGCCACACGCGAAGTGTAGCCTGCCAATTCCATTATTTCACGGTATGAGAACATGATACGTCCAAACGCATCAGATGCTGACAGCAGCATGCGCCTGTTGGTGACGAAAGATTCCGTCCTGTCGCCCATGGTCATGACAACTTGTCCAGGGATCTTGACGAAGACGGGGATGCTGCACAGGATAAGACCGAGGGCACCCCAAAAGTACTTAATGGTGAAGTCCTCCATAAATCCGTGGTAAAACCGGCGACGGAGGATGTAGTTGACGTGCTTGATGAGTGTAAAGTACCCCTTGTCCAGTGTGTCCTTCTCGGCATTGTGGCCAGCATACAAGGCCACTTCTTCGCTGTAGTCGATGAGTCTAGAGTGTTGGTATCTAAACTCACCCTCCAGTCTCGCCTCATCAGCAACATATTTTCCAAACGGAGGCGTCAGGGCCCTCATCACGTTAGCTGATAATTGGACAAGGCTTGCCATGAATACGACGCCTTCGCCACCAACGCTCTTGGAAAGGGAGTAGGTGTAAATACTCTGCTTGGTGTCAGCGTATACATTGCGATGGGTATTATGAGGTAGGTACAAACCATATCGAGCATTGGCTTGGCCAGGTTGCTATATAACTCGGCCAGACTATTTGAGAACTTTGACACATCGACTGCAATGAGTTGATCGGCGTTCTTTATACGGTCATCCAAGGCAGATATGCCGTAGAATGTTAGCTTGGATAGGTATTTGTCGTGGATGTAGTGTGTTAGTCTCGCCCGGTAGGCTAATGATAGCTCTGCTTGGTGGTATGATAACTGGTCACGATGTCAGAGGCTACGGAGAAGAAATATATATGGAGGAGGAAGGACATACCATGGAATTGGTGAATGTGGCAGGGATGGCGATGAGCATCCACCATACAATGCGCTGGAGGAACTCCTTTCCTCGCCCCTTGACCAGCGCCTTGACGATCGCACCATCCATTTCGGCTACACGAACGCTGATGAGGGTTCGTAGCACGAGGAAGAAGCTGTGGCTGATCAACAGGCGGGCCTCCTTGCTTCGCCAATCTGGTACAACAATCTTGAGCAGCCGCAGCAGCGATCGGAAGAACTCGCGATTCAACTCGACTCGCTTCTTTGGCTTGTCGGGGCCATCGCTGGTCGAAGTAGTGCCTCTCCTGGCGGCCCTCTGCTCGGCGCCACGTTGCGAAGCGGCCTTTTGCTCCGAGATGGCATGGCGAATTCGGTTGGCAAGGGCGACGAAGAGGGTGATCCAGACGGCTCGCGAAATGCGCGTTCGGTGAGACAGATACCAATGGGTGAGGTCGGTAAGTATACTGCGGATGGTGCGGTCCCTGAGAAAAGGAAGTTTCGATTGCGCTGCCATGGCTCGTCTTGGTGCGCCTGCTTTGCAGCGCGGGAGGAGGACGGGAGGAGGACGGGGTGGAGAGGAAGAGGTAGAGGTAGAGTAAACTCGAGACAGCGCGGTCTGAGTCGCGTGCTGGCTTCAGGTGCTACAGGGTCATCCAAAATCGAATAAGACGGCGCAAACCCCGCGGCGACATGGCATCTAGAGATGGATGTCTTGGAGATGCGGTCAATCGGGGCCTGTGTGCCTGTCGGCCATGGATGCCACCCCAGACGGACACGGCAAGCACGAGCTAGAGCCTCTAATTACTGCTCCTCGGCCAAATCGTCATCTGTCACGGGCTTCCCCACGGGCATTTGGCTTGGCACAGCATGTGATTGAGCCACCCGCAAAGCGACGAGGTACGTACCGCCATGTGTATGCTTACTAAGCAGCCTCCCTTTGCCAATCGTCCGTGTCAGATGCCTCAGCAATTCGTCCCATCCAAACTCGTTGGTGACTACCTGGACAGAAGGTATCCAGTCGACTGATTTTGTGGTCTTGATTACATACCGCATCTCCCTAGAAAGAGTAAGATGAGTTTCGGTAGGTCTTTAGTCGAGTCTTGGGATATGGCATTAGTGCAAAAGGTGGTAGATAAACTGGTGGGTTGTTATCACATAATAACTCTTTTGACTTCTATGCCCAGTAATTGGAATAAAGACGATGTTTCAGGAGTTAGGATAGTATATATTTAAGGAGATGGGTAGATTACTTTCATGTCTACAATATGCCTTAGTATAGTAAGGGCGTCTTAATGCTCCCGCATCTGGGCCTAGATGAGTAAGTGGGGTTTGGGCAGGAGATTTATTTTCTCCAAGTTCGCGGGGTCCAAGAAGTTTCCATCCCAGCCAGAGTCACACTATTTGCGAGCGCAATACCAAGCACTAAACAAATAACAAACCCAACCTCCCAAAAATCATGTCGGACGACGAGAACATCTCCATCTACGATGAGATCGAGATCGAGGACATGACCTTCGACGAAGCCCAACAGTCCTACTTCTATCCTTGCCCATGCGGCGATCAGTTCCAGATCGCCCTGGACGACCTTCGCGACGAGCAGGACATTGCCGTCTGTCCCAGCTGCAGCCTCATGATCCGAGTTATATTTGACATGGTAAAACTTACTCATCTCCCTCCCGTCATTCGATGTGAACCCTGTGTGGCTAAATTTGTTTCGAAGGATGACCTGCCGAAACCACCCCCACCCGCAAGCGATTCCAACACCCAGATCGCCATCGCCGCATGAGCTACTCGGTTTCGCGCTTCAACGCAGCCGGGAGCCGGCCGTGCTCTGCGATTCGATCTACATGCCGCTGCATGCCAAGTGTGCAGTTGGAGTGTCAGAGCCCGCGGCCCGTCCGGAACAGCCTCACGCATAGTCTTGGTACATGGTCTTGGTCATTTGCGACATGGCCAGCCTAGATCGCTTGCTGCCTCGAACAACATCTCCCCGTAGTTAACATGCGGAGGCCGCATAGGATAAGTCGCCAAGCCAAGAGCTGCGGTGCTATATGCTATATCCTATGCGCATGCCAATATGAAGTCTTGAACTGGCCCTGGAACCCATCTATTAAAAAAGAAGGATGCGAACAACCCTGGCTCCTGCAAGGCCGTGTCAAAGCACACGCCAGTGGCTCCAGCAAAAAAGCGTGGAAACCCGTCAATCCGTGGAAATCATATTTCCGTCGATCCTTCATCACGGCACCAGGAATAATCGCTTCTAAATATACAGCTTGCATTGTTGGATATCTACGAAGAGGCGGATGGCTCCCGGATCATGTTTCACGATTGGTATTTTTGTTGTCGCACAGCCACGCAGTCCGCATAATCCATATCCTCAAGTCTGAAACCAAAGTCAACAACTCTGTTTTGCATTATGGCTTTGTAACTAGCATTAGACACGATTAGGCAGATTCTCCTCGCAGAGGATAATTTCGAGGAACAGTGAATCTGGCACTGTATTCCTCACATGCGCACCAATATCCCCCCACTACATCTCGAATGTCGACAGATTGTCGCCCCCTGGTTTATGTGGGATCCAAAGAAGAATGAATATGTAATAAAAAAAGATAATATGCAGCCATCGGGCAATGCAAAAAAATAAATGTTCCCAACGCCATGACAATCCTGGTCCGTGGCGGACTATGCCTGTGATGATAACTGAACGCCAATTCAAAAACCGCTCCGAGGTATCTATGTTGGTCGATGAAAGACAATTGGCCCAAAACCCACACCGAATGTGATGATGAAAATCCTCATGGTAAACATTAACGCCCGACTCTTTTTGGCCCATGTGTATTACGATTGCGCCAGCTTAGGCAACCCGCGGGGATACACGATCCCCAACCACATCATCGCGCCCGTTTGGCCTGGGGCTATAAGACTAACAGTCCGACGATGAAGAAGCCGAGGAGGCCAACCATGGAGCTCTCGGCATGCTGGGGAATTGTGGCCCCCGCCGTCGTGTCTGGGGGCTGCGAGGTCGATTGGCTGGCCTGCGTTGCGCTGGTCTTGGTGACTGTGGCAGATCCTAGACATTGAGATTGATTAGCCCGAATGAACCAAGAAAGGAAAAAAAAGAAACTCCTCAATTGCGACGAGCATGACCGCACACACAATGCCAAAGCAGTGGGTAGGGTTGCCGGCAGCTCGAGAAGACGAGAGCACCACTCACTTGTTGTATTTGAAGAGGCCCATTGAGCTGTAGTTGTCGAATTGACGCTGTGCCCGGGGGTACTCGACGACTCGGGCGCGGGCCATAAGACATTGTCCAATGACCCAGAGGTCGTCATGACATGGACCGTGACGGCATTGTCTGGGCCGGCAGCAACAGCTTGGATTGCGACAGCGCTGCAGACTGCGAGCACTTGGGCGAGGCGCATCGCGAGGCTCTTCGTATTGCAGGTCTTGGCGAGGCAGGGGGTGCACTGAGCCAAGCTGCGGGAGGAACTGTGCTTGATAAGGGCCCCGTCTGAACGTTTGCGTCTATTTGCTTATGTATCAAGTAATTGCCGTCTTGGCGAGCTTGTAGGACGGGCAAGGCGCTTCCTTAATTGCTCGCAATTTAGAGACAGTGGCAGAAGCTGGCTGGAGGAGGACGGGGCGCGGCGCTCGCTGCGAAAGGAGGACAGGCGGGCTAGCAGGAAATAGTCAGGAGAAACTAAACAGCCATCGAATCGAGCCAGCGTAGATGGAGAGATCTCCCGGTATAGGTAATTAGTAGTCGGGGGCAATCAAAGGAGGCGAGAAAGGCGGAAAACAGGATGATGTACCGGCCATGGACTCTAATACATATCTACGTTGCTCAACCGGACCAGAGTGAACTGCAAGACGGCCCAGGTTTCGGTGATTTGGGAATGGGGGGGAGTATCTCTACCCTGGTCGGAACCCACACGCATTATCGCGAATCCCTGCTGACATGGCTGCGAACATGGGCTGGGAGTTGGTGGCTCGACATTTGCTCCTGGCCATCTAGGCCCGTTATGGGGCACTTCGCCTGTGCTGCAAATGGCTCCAGCTGCCCAGATTGACAGTAGCGCTCGCTGCCAGTGACCTAATCCCAGGGCAGACAAGCCTGGAGGGTGGGTGGATGGCCAGTACGCAACGTCCAGGGCCAGAGCCAGCGTCGGCCGGTAGAGGTACTAATGCGAGCCAGATTGCGCTGTGACGCGATAGGACGGCAGACCTGTCTGCGACCAGATAAAACGTGTGTACAGCGCTGATACGAGCACCTGCACCGGGCTTGCAGTAGCTACCGGTCATCGTGCATAAGAGAGCCGGTACTCGACATGTACATGCTTTCACCATAGGCAACGCTGTACCTAGCCGCATTCTGTCTTTTTTCGATATGCATGCACACGGGAGCATTACGTATGCGCCCACAAACGTCGAGACCGTTTGAGCATCAAGATGTAATGATGCGCGTACAGCCAGGCACTACACTCTGCACTACCAGCCAGTATACTACACTAGTCGTGTTTTGTATCGCCGATCCCATGGCACAGTGGCCTTGTTCATAAACTCTAGTGCAAATCCCCACCGAAGGCATCAGAATTTTTATGGACGCATCCTTCTTTTTTTTTTTGCACGGACGCCGCGATAACGCAAACGGCGGGATGCGCAGAAACCGCACAAACGCAGCCCACCCAAAGTTTGGCCACATCCAGACAGGCCGCTGCCGTCGGGCGCCGCGCCTGTCGCGTCTCCCTTTGGGCAAGTACCCAGGCAGCCTCGTACGAGGTGATAACGCGGTGACTGACTGTGCAGATTGCATCATGCGCCCATAAAATGGTACACATCTTCGCTTGGGAGCAGAGGGGAAACTAGCACCCTCTGTTGCAATTAGGAAATATTTGCTTCACCCCGGCAGCCGATCTTGCAGCATGGCATTATGCCTACACCGGGCCAAAAAGCTTGGTACCATCGACGGCTCCAGACAAAAATTGGGGTGGGTTACTCACGGAAGTACGACCACCAGAGCAGACCATGACCCGGCCGCCTAGTGTCATCTCTGAATTTTATTATTTTCCCGCAGCCCTCTGAGATTGTTCGGCTGTAGCCAGAGGGTCCACTGTCCACGCACGCGCAGCCAGCGCGCTCCTGTGAGTGGCCTGGCCTAGATCTAGGTAATTTCGTGGCCTGGCTGCTAGGTTTTCCCTCTGCAGGCCTTCCAGTGGGCCGTCCAATTCCTTATCCAGGCTCTTCCCGCCCGCAGACGAGGCCGCCGTCTAAGGGGTGGGCTCGTGTGACATTGGATGCAACTCAACACCGTCCCATATCGTGTCGAGCTCGGTCGGCACAGGTGTGACCAAATGGTGTGTCCTTCTCCGCTTCATCGCCTGGTCGGTGTTGTTATTCTTGATCACGGCGTGTCCATCACTTCCCGGCGGATGGATCAAAGGATGGACCCAAGTCAATGGATGGATGGATATTACTGCAGCTTCTGATAATACCTCTGAAACTCGGAGGTAGAGGGAACATTTGCCTTCAGTCCGCCTTAAGTCCACCAAGCTGTTCACGAGTCGACAGGTCTCCATGGGGGTGAAACACAGCTTCCCAAGTCCCGCATATCGGGCGGAATCCTTTCGCAGCTCTCACTGGCTACCCCCTGGCGAAGTCTAGAAATTGGGAGGAGCACTGCCTAGCATCTGGTCTATGTGCTAGCTTTGTAAGTCAGACAGACGGACTCCGTAGCAGCGTGTGGGTATTTCGCACGCACCTCCACTCCTTGACCTCTCCCCCTGTCCTCGACTCCGAAAACTTGAAAAGTAGTGACGTATTTCCACCATGTAAGGAAAGGAGTATTGACCGGCGCTGGCCCACTTCCAGTACCTCTGCAACCACAGCTGCAGCTCACCACTGCCAGAGCTCGTGTTGCTGGGCGAAGATGCGCAACTAAAAGTACCCGATTGGCTTGGAGCTGACTCGAGGTCAATCGTTCGCCAGGCCCATTTGTCGATCAGCGAATCAGACGATCTTCACGTCAATATGACAGCAATTGCTACCTGGCACCATTGGGGCACGCATTCTCCATGTTGGCCAGCAGCAATCGCATCCTGGACGACGTTTGTTCCTGTCGTGTCACAAGCTAACGACTGGCACGTATCAGATAATTTTCTTTCCACGTACCACTCACCCCGTCAACGCCCCTTTTGGAGTCGGAGAGCCAAATCTAATAATCAAGCATAATATCAAATAGCCAAATTAGGGCGCCTTCCCTGTCGCCCAGCCCCTTGTTGTCAGCTCCGGTAGAGCCTGGGAAACCGCCCGCCCTGTGTTTCCGTGTGATGGAGCATGGCACGTGGGCAATATCGTGATGCTAACCTATACACGCCCTCGGGCTTTGGTGTCGCGTGTATATCGACGAAGCTTCCAAAAATAATAAATCGTATGATGACTCTCTTGGGGTGACTGGGTGTGGCATTTGTTGCCCGTCCGCAGCGATTCAATATATCGTATATCTGCGGCACCTGACATTTGGTCTACTCGATTTGGTAGAATTCAAGTGCCGTTTACGGTGTGTGGGCTCCAGCAAGGGGAGACTCTTGGATCAACTCCGAATGCGACGGCATGTTGACAATAAAGGAACTAGCCACTCTTTGCCACGGTGGCTACTCCGGACAAAGGGATTGATGAATATCGAGATCACGATAGCTATTTCGCAGTTTGATGTCTAGATTAGCGGTTCTGGGCGAGCTGATGCCAAGCCTTGTCAATCGGCAACCGAAACTTGGCATCTGATGTTAA